AAAATGTTTCCCTTTTACAGGTGAGATTCTATTGCTATTAATGTGTTAACATTAAGATATGGTATGTCCGAAATCTATCATGGTCAATCGAATATTCATCTTCCATGAAATATCTGTAGAAGTCAGTTGTGTTCTAGAGTAAATGTTTTCGTTACTTTTTCACTTTCAGTCCTTCAATGAATATAGATCCTAACGATGTTAATATTTGAGTATTCAATTGTAGTGCCAGACTGCACAGCCATGTGGTGGTGGTGGACAATCTGGGTAATAAAATTGAATGATTCTGCTAACTACAAGTTGGGACCTTGTGACTTTGAGCTGGCATGTTTCATGCACAAGGAGCAAGATCCACCAGCCAAGGATATCAACATAAAGCATCACAAACACATCTTCAAGGAAGAAATGGCCAAACTGATCAAAACTTTGGTGTCTCTTTCTGTAGTATCATGTACATTTATACAGTATAGTGTATGCATATGGGAAAAATTGTATGATGATCAACTATTCCTTAAAAGGCGGATGCCAATCGAAGGGCGTCAACAGTAACTCAGGAGTATCTATGAGCTAAGGATGTTGAGTACAGAAACTCTGCTCTGGACTAATTTCCTGAACAGATGTCCTGCTCCGCTCTCGAGATCGCCGATACTGCACTCTAGCCCTGACAATTGCACCTCCTTGCAAACCACTGCTTTCTTTTTCTGAAATGACTTGAAAACAAGAGACTGTTTAGGCATTTTGATTTGCTTCGACAAGAGACGGAGTGTGGATTCCAGGAGAGACACCGAGATCTCTCTAGCCTTGGCCAACAGCATGACCATGCTACAATCTGCAGGAGCCTTCTTCGCGGTCTTCTTGAAAAGATTCTTGGACTTCTTCACCAAGCGGGTGTAAGATTGGATCTTGGCTTGAGTAGTTGCATCATCACCTTTCCTTAGAGCCACTTGCAGCTCTTGGATGATGGCCTTCATCTCGACGAAGATCTCTTGCATGACGCTGCAGAGATCTAGCAGCTCGAGAGAACCTTCCATTTCTCCATCCAACATGCTCCTCTGCTGGGCTGAGCAAACATGTTTGCTTGGTAGGCAAATAATCTCTTCAAGAGCATCGTAGATGTTTGTAAGACTCCTGAGATCATCGCACATCGTGCTGATGGAAGTGGAGGAAGAGATGCTTGCTTCTAGGCTGTGAAGCTCTAGCTCGACTTCGGTCTCACTGACGTGAGGCCTAGAAGGCAAACTTGTCGATCTTTGGTGGAAAGCCATATCTGAGCTTGAAGGTTATCGCTGCCTTGTGGTTGATGAGAGGAGGAGAAGAGCAGAGAGTAAGAGCTTCTTGTTTGATGTATCTACCCGTTCTGCTGCCGCCTATTTATACAGAAGATGTGTACAGCTGTATTGTAGCATCTGATTGGTAGACATGAAGAATCATGCCATTACATCGGCCACATGCTGTCTGCTATGCCTTGACATCTGGCAGACGCATAGAGATCGCAACACTAAAGTCTTCTCATGTTTAGTACATTTTGTTTTCTGTGCCTAGTGTCCTTGAGATGAGGCATCACAATATCATGTTCCAGCAATTGGCAACAAGAAGCAATCAAAAAGATGTGGTTTAGTCTGATGGTCGATTTCAGCATAATTGCACGCCCATGCAATTACTTAATGGGTCGCTAACCTAACATTGAGCTGTGACATACCTGTATTTAATAAGGTATTTTCCTTGGTGGGCACTCTTGCAAATTACAGGTTAAAGCCTCAAC